TCATTGCAATTTTGACAATCTATGTGTAAGTTGTAGCTACTAGCTTACTGTTGGAGAGAATATAAGTTAACTTGCAACCGAATTTAACTCAAAAAAGCTACAAGCTTGGGGGAAAAAACGAATTGAAGGAACACGTGCAAGCTTTAAGATGTTGTGGCCAATCATTGGGGGATCTTGTAGCTTAAAGGTTTGTAGTTTGAAAATATGACGTGGCAAGCCAAACTACATCATTATATAACATCTCCAATGGTGTAGTAAGGGACTTGCTTGCAAAAATGCAATTCTCAGAAGTTCCAAGCTACTTATCTATTTCAATTAAAATCAAAAAGTTAATTGACAATTGGGACTAATTTAAGTAGCTTCAAACCTTTCGTGGCATGGCATACATATTTGGCAATTAGCTTAAAATTAGAGATATTCTTATAACTCACCATTGAAGTTGCTCTTTATTCATCTCCAATGAGAAACTAATTGTCAAATTAACTTGTCATGGCACATAGGATTTCAAATTATTTTTCTTTCTAGCTAGTTTGTATCCCAGTGATGAGCTACTAGCTTGCTTTTTTACAGTCCTACTTGTCAATGATGGTTGACCACTGTTATTACTCTTTTTGTCCAATAAATTAGCTTGCCCCAAGTAAATTTCCCATTTCAGCTCCACTGGCTAATAGCTTGGGACTTCTAAAAATTGCAGGCAAGTCCCAAGTTAACTATTGGAGATGCTCTCATAAGGCATGCGGAACATAAGTTTATTTGAAATTTAGTTTTTGGGAAGAGGCTTTTCCTCAATCAAATATTACATTGATGATTTGATTTGTTTTTCTTGGTGTTGGTGTATTGGTTTATTGGACTGCCCTTTATCTTTTGTTGTTTTAGAATGTGAAATTGTGAGCATTAATCAACCAATAACTTACTTCAAATGTACCATGGGCACTTCTGTTACCTGAAGCTTCTTCCCTGTCTCACTGATGGTGCAGTCTCTGCTGGATTTAGCTCCTTGTTTTCTGACTATCATTCTTCAATGATTAGTACTCAATCAACTTATGGTCCTGTTTAAATTACATCTTGAATCTAAGAGCAATTTAGATGGCTGGATATTCTCAATGTTGCAATCTAATCTTTTAGGTAAACTGGTCACCTAATTGTGATAACTGATAAGGGGAACTGAGTCCTAGTTAGCTTCTGTTGCTTAATTATTCATTTCTTACAATGAGTTGTTACCTTCTTATGATAGTTTTGATTTGTGAAGCTGTTGAGGAGACTAATTTAAGTGTATCTCACCTATAGTTGTATTGCAAGGAATCGAGGATCTTTAATTTGAAGTTGTCTTTGTTATTCTTAAATCTTAAGTGAAACAAATAGTTGTCAATGTTTACGCTCATCAACTTATCTTTCAAACATAGATCACTTAAATTTAATTCTAGAAAATTGCTTTCTAAAAGGACAAAGGATTGGAGCTATCATGCTTCACTTCTAGAGAATAATAATAAGCACTGCTGAGTTAGAAACATAAATTGACTTCAAAGAAACATGGGATATTTACCAGGTGATTTTATCTACTCCCAATGTCAAGTTTGTAGGGGATTCAAACTCTTTGGCATTTTATTTCTAAGGACATAGCTGATCACTTTTCTACTTTAGACTTTTGTAGCTTCCTTAGTTTTTCCCATTGTCTACATCATTTTTTATCTTTATTTATTCACCATTTTAATAACAGCTCTTCTTTATATGCAGCATATGGGTCATTTACTGTTGCTGAAATGATCACTGACAAGCTCGTCTATTGGTACCTTTCTTATCTTTTACTTGGTATTTCATAACTATTAAGCTCTCAGCAGATTTCTCATGCTTAGATTTGAGAAGATCAAGAACTTCTGTCGTCTTTATTTTTTTCCTCCCGTGCATTTATTTATCATACTATCATTATCGTTTTTTGTCTAATTTTTGTATATGAGATGTTGAAGAATGAAAGAGATTCTTGCTATTCTTGGAGTACTTGCGTAGAATATCTTATAAAGATTTCAGATATTCTTCAATCTCTTACCAAAGTGGGTCCCATCTCCTCCCGAAATTAAATTTCGTATAATCACAAAGATATGTTTGAGTAGAGTCATGCTCACATGAAGGGCTAGTGTCCATGGGAGAGATAGAAAAATGGGATTAGAACACCCACCACCATCACCACCACACACAACACAAAATAAGTATAAAAAGGGAGGAAATGAAAAGGTGAATCTCCCTTAGGTGATCTCTTGAAACACATGGATGATTGATTGATAAATGATGTATTACTTGGTGATGAACTTCTAGTGTGTCGGTGTTGCAAGACGATTTTATAATGATCCTTTTCTTATATTCAATTGTGATTTACAAAGTCATTTGGGGGAGGGGATTGTATTTTAATTGGGGAAAATGATTTTGAAGTTGTTAATTATGATAAATATGGTTTTTACCTTCCTGCTTATACATGTGTTAATGATTTAGAAATTGATTTTCTCCCAACCTTAATATGCATTGCAGAAGTAATCATTTTCCCCTAACCAAAATACAATCCCCCAACCAAGCTGTCACCTTATTGGTGAAGAGAGCTTGAATACATATTTATAGATTAGATGTGTTAGGTCACTTGGTTAGATTCTTTATTTTTTTTCATTATCTGCTAAATTTGCCTTTTGCACTTCATTTCTATGTACAAGTATTTACCCTTACTTCTCAATTTTAGATTTTTGAAAACTTAAAAGTTCCTTGTCTCTTATTGTCAGGTTTCCCCTATACTACCATATGAAGTTTGCTTTTCTTGTTTGGCTTCAACTTCCATCAACCAATGTAAGCTTTATGTCATGGAATTTCACTTGTTTCACACGTGCATGTGATGGTAATTTATTTGAAAATTTTGTTGTGGGTGCATCTTCTATAATCTATTTTGTGAGAAAGTACCTTGTAAAAATTATGTATTTGTACAATGGCACCCAAAACCAACTTTTGTGGCTTATATTCAATATCTGGTTCTTTGACTTGTTTTCCTGTCCTTTACCTTTTATCCCCCTCCTCCCTCCTCTTTTTTCCTCGTGTGACTCATCCACTTTCATACCTTAGCTTACAGGCACTCATTTTTTTTCCTCTTTCTTCCCTCCGTTTTCTCCCCCCACAAAGTTGCCTTGAGACAAACTCTGTCTTAGAAGGCGCTTCCCCAAAATTAAAATGAAATTTTTTAAAAGGTTTCTGATCAAAGTGTCTTTGATTTTAATGTTATCCTTTACTAATGTGCACGTTGGAGTACTATAATTGACTTCTAGCATAATGTCACTGGTTTGGTTTTTCCTTCACTTAACATTGTTAAACGGGTTATGATGTTTCTAAAAGAAGTGAGTTTCTTGTGTTATTGATTTTTGATCTTGGGATAGCTAACTTATATGCATTATTGTTGTTATAAATAGGTGCAAGTTGTGCGACTTTTGTGTCAATAATATTGTTGAATAGGGGATTGAGAAAGCATGTGGTTATTTTTATTTGCGTATTTTTGCTTTATTGAGGGGGAAAAAATATATATTGCCTCAGTTTTAACAAACTTTTCCTTGCTCTAGGTTCCCACCTCCAACCACCAGGCCAAGAGTTTGTTGGTGGTTGTGTGGACGGCAAGTAGATACTTTGAGGAAATGGGGTGGGGGTTGGTGATGTCTACTGGGGCCAGTTGGATTTAAGTGCTATGCAAGTTGTTCTTATTATCTGTTTTCTATGACAGGGAGCAACACAGCTGTACATGAACCACCTGCGTCCTTTTCTCTTGAGACATCAAGTTAAACTTGATCAAATTGTGGGACTTTTGTATGGTGAAATGGTAAGTTATCTTTATTAGACATAATACGTTCTTCTTTACAGCAAATAGAAACAGTTACTGCAAGCTAACAAGTTTTATGGACTTGCAGGCTAAATTTGTATCCGTGCACCAAGCAGAACTCCAATTTTTAAAGAAAATCCTTGTAAACATTTTTGAACCAGGTGCGTGATTGGGCATTCTTCCTTTTATTTTCTAATATCGACTTCCATTAGCATTATTAGACACTACTAAAAATTACATTTTATATTATAATACAAACAATATCCAATTTATCAGTGCCTTACTGGTTCTCACTCTCTTCTACTTGAATTTTTTTGTCTTTACATTATGTGTTCTCCAAGTTAGTACTATGCATTTATCTTTTACCTTCTCACTTTCTACTTTGGTTCTTGAGCAGTAAATCAGATACTCAGAAGAACCCCGCACCCTAATGGAGGCGGTGTTGCTGCAATTGAAGGTCCGGCTGAACGAGAACAAGATGAGGATGTACCTTCGGAACATGAAAATTGATTATTGTCTCAATGCAGTGAACTACTTTCTTTTATTTATTTTAAAAATCTTCTGCTGTTGATCTTTTACTAAATAGAGAACGCAAAAATCAGGGAGTTTTATCTGGTTTAGTTTCAAATCTAGTTTCCTGCTGTTTTGTAAATAGATGTATAGGAAGTTATAGGTGTAGAATGTGTTGGAATATTTTATTGTTGCAGCTTATGAGAAACAGATTCTTCATACTAATACTGCTATCCCTGATTCCCTGCAAAACCAAAACTTGTTAATAAAGGAGCTACTTTTACTCCTCTAACGGCCTGTTTGGTATATAGTAATAGATGATGGTAATGAGGATGAATAAGTATATTAATTTCTAAGAAAAATCAATGTTTATTAACTTATTTCCATGGTATTGTTAGTTCACCTCAAATTATCCATTTTTCTTCACAAATTTTCGTGACCATCCATTATCACAAATTTCCATGGTAATAACATACATTCATGAAGAACACAAGTCTGGGATGAGATTGCATTATTACGGATATTTGGATGTCACTTTGCTCGTTAAACTAAACTAAATGTCATAATCGTCGATGCTACTTATAACCGACTGGGTCGATGGACTAAAACGTACTTTTTAGTCCTTGAATGGTTTTGAAAGTAAACGCAGATATTGTTTAAGAAATTGAGGTAGTTGGCTGAGCAGTAACAAGACGACGAAACACAAAGCGTCTAATTTCCCGAGTGCCCTCAACTCTTAAACAAAGACTGATGATAGAGGAATTATATATAAAGAACTCCTTAAACAAATGTATTATTCAACTATTATACTAGTAGTTTCGGTCTAATCAAGCAATCAAATCTGAAAAACTCTTAAGCAAGACAAGGAGTACGTAAATCTGAATGGAAAAAGTTATGAATGGAGAAGAAAAGAGAGTTTGTGTGACTGGTGCTTCAGGTTTTATTGCTTCTTGGATTGTCAAGCTTTTGCTCCAACGAGGTTATAAAGTCAACGCTACTGTTCGTAACCTAAGTATGTTTCTTCTCTTTCTGTATGTGTGTGTTTTATTGACTTGAATTTCATGGTAGTGTTAAGCCTTAAGCTCATATATCCTCCTGTTAATATTTGGGGTAAATTCAAGTTTCTCTCTGAGATAAATCTGTGAATATATCTCTTCTCACAACATAATTATTTTTTTTTATTTTGTAAATGATAAAAGTAAAATAATAAAGTGGCACACGAATCAATACATAAAGTTGTGAGAGGAGATAAACTGGAATGTTTGTGCCAATTGAGTTTTTTTTTTTTTTTTCATAGTTTAACACTTTAACCCATTGAACAATAATAACACCATTTGTGTATGCTTATTCATCGATGAATAGTCATGGTCAAAGTTAATATCTCTAATATTTCATATGGGACAAATATAAAGGATCGGAGGGTGTGTATTATTTCACTTGATATTTATTGTAATCTGCATATTTTTTTGCATAATAGGACTACTCTGGTCTTGTAACTAGTTTGTTTAAATTGCAAGGTGGTGATTATTTTCAAATTTACTAATGTAGCTATCTAATGTTCTAAAACCACAATATATGTGAATATTTTTGGTTCTTATGTTATTGAACATACAGATGATCCCATGCAAAAGGAGCACTTGCTTGCAATGGATGGTGCTGAAAAGAGACTTCAGTTGTTTGAAGCAGATCTCTTGGAAGAAGGTTCCTTCGATTCTGCTATCCATGGATGTGATGGTGTTTTCCACACTGCAACTCCGCTTATACTCTTTTCCACGAATCCTGAGGTTCCTAGTTCAACTACTCCCTTTAAAGTTTAAACCCTTCTGTTTCCTAGTTTCAGAACAGTTCCACCAATTTCACTAATTAACTGTTAGTTTAAAAGCTGTGATTACATAACTCTGAAGTCCCTTTTTGCTCTATTAGTTAAGGTTTTAACTGATACAGGGCCGGTTCTAAACTGGCTCATTTGTATGTAAAGTGTTGCACCTTTAGGGGGCGTTTGGTTAGAACAATGGAAACGAAGTGGAAAAGAAACAAATAAAAGAGGGGAAAGGAATCATGTAACTATTACCTTTTCATTTGTTTGGTTTAACTATGAAAATGAATTAATTTGTGTTTGAGAAGGTTAAGGGTATTTGTTACCTTAGGTTTTAGAGTGGTAACAAATGGGTGGAATCCCTTACCCTTAGGTAAAGGTAATGGTTACCAAATCTCTTAACCAAACATTGGATAAAGGTAATGGTTTAACCGAATCCGTTTCCAACCTAAAAAATACACTAATCAAACATGCTCTTAGAGTATTTATGTCCATTAGTTAGTGTCACATGAGATGTTGCAGTCCCTGCTAATACTTGCAGAGTTACTGGTAAGGCAGTAACAATCAGACATCTGCTACATCTTTGTATTTTGGATGTTTCAGGAAGAAGTGATTGAACCTGCTGTGATGGGAACTCTTAATGTTCTTGCCTCGTGTATAAAAACCGGGTCATCTGTCAAACGAGTGATTTTCACATCTTCTACTGCAGCAGTTGTACACAATGGAAGACCTCTCACCAATGAGACAGTGGTTGATGAAACATGGTTTTCTTCTCCAGAAGGCTGCAAAGCCAGAAAAGGGGTAGGCATAATTCTGTTCCTTTTCAAGTTACACGGTATGTAATTAATTAGCTAGGAGGTTATACGATTGCACTTTCATAATCATCATATGCAGGAGTGTTATAGTCTCTCAAAAACCTTAGCTGAGGATGCTGCATGGAAATTCGCCAAAGAGAATGGCATCAATCTGATTTCAGTAAACCCTGCTGGTGTAATAGGCCCATTGTTACAGCCAACTATAAATGCTACAACATTTTACTATATTATTAACTTGATTAATGGTATGATCAATAACTTCCTTAGCTCTCGTACAAAGTCTTAAGTATCGAGTCCTGTGGTGCATGTTGTAAGACCTTTATGTAAACATCAGACTGTTTCTAATCTTTGAGTTGATTTTAGGGGCAGAAACCTATCCAAATTCAAGTTTTGGGTGGGTTCATGTAAAAGATGTAGCCGAAGCACATATTCGTGCCTTTGAGATCCCTTCTGCAAATGGAAGGTACATATTGAGTGAAACTGTTGCACATTTCTCAGATATTGTCAAAATATTGCATGAGCTTTACCCGAGTCTCAAACTTCCTGACAAGTAAGTACATGCTTTCTGAAATCTGTTGTCTTTGGTCTACAGTAGCTTATATTGTAACTATTATGTAATTGTTACATGATACCCTTCATTTCTTTCTTCTAGGTGCGATGATGACCAGCCACTTGCGGCGAGTTACAAGATTTCGCAGGACAAAGCCAAGACCTTAGGCATTGAGTTCATTCCCTTAAAAATTGCTCTCAAGGAAACTGTTGAGTGCTTAAAGGAGAAGTTCAACATTAGTGTTTGATATTTTTTCTTCCATTCTTTTTCTTTTTCTACAAACTTGTTTAGTGTATATTATTGGCTCTGTGTTTAGTTTCTGCAACAATGAAGGAAATGCTTGTATGTTGTGATTTATGGATTAGTGTGTGGTGGCTATGATCTACTATAATGTCTATAATCATGTTGCCCGGGGCATTTTTCTCGTAGCAAATATTACTAATAATACATGGACCATAGGAAAGTAGGGACGTTATTGATTTATACTTTTTTGCAATTTATATAGCATAGTGATTATCAAGTAGCTTTCTCATACTACTTCTTTTAGAATATTACGAATTATACTCCCTTTGTTTCTTAAAGATGAAATATTTTCACATTACAAGTCGAACTCTGGCATCAACATGGTTATCCTATCCATGCCATTGTTTGCGGCTGAAGGAACTGTTTTTTCTTTCTTGCTTCGATTGTACAAGATTTTTGTCTAACCATAGGGGAACTAATTTCCTGTGGTGTTATGCTTTTCCTATTCAGTATGTTACATCTTTATGTTCATTTTCAATTGAGCTTATTATTTACAATTCTTTGGCTTTAGATTACATTGGCTAGTGTAAGATGACTCATTTTGATTGATTCCGCTTCGTTCATCTTGTAACAAGAATAATCTTTGTAAGATGGATCTTAAAACTCTAATGGGACTACAGTAGTGTTCTTGACCATGTTTGGCAATTATAGATTACTGTAATTGTTAGCTGTTTGTATCAGCCAATTTACTCGTCGTATTAGGTGTTTGTGTATGTACGTAAAGCATTTGACAATTGTAGTTGTTTTGTAATTCATCAGGTAAAATGACCATATATGGGTGGGTAAATCTTTGGTAAAGAGTGGTAAATTTGACAAAGTATAGGATGGAATCGTCATTTTACCATTACATACAAATTGATCTTCCAAAGAGCTTGTATAGCCAGCTTTTTTCAAATTAGCTTATTGAGCTCAAACCTCTCTCAACGAAGCACTCTCATTAGAGTTTAAAGTAATTAAACCTCTTTTTTCGTCCACGTCTCTCATAACCAAACCTGCCTAATTGAGGTTTGGCGACTTGTACTACAGTATGAATGTATAATAAATACTAATTTCAGATTATTTTACTTCTAATTTCTTATTTAACATACTTTAATACTAGTAGTACACTAGTAAATCATATTCTATTCAAACTCTTAAAAGATGTAGAGCAATGTTACATTAGCTAATTAGCCAAAAATGAATAATTTCATGTTAATGATATAAATAGCTCCATTATTTGTTTTCGTTTGTTTGTGGATAATATGAAAACTCAAATTCTACACAATAATTTAGTTTCATAATGATTTGCAACTTTCTTTTGCACCTAACATTATTATTATCATCCTAAAAATAAATGAACAGAAGGAAAAAAAAATAATATGGGGCCCACGCTCTAATATTTTAAGCAAGAGCGACATTATAGGAAAGTGAAAACAATCATGAAAAGCATAATCAAATAAAATCAAAGAGAATTAGAAGCAAATCAGACAAAAAAGCTTAAGCTCCAATGCTTTTTGTCCTTACCAATTACCATTGCTTGCTTTTGCTGCCGGCTTTAATTATTACTAACTCTGTATTTACTCAAATCCTATGTCATTTACCAAGTTTGAAGATTGACCAACTTCTTGTTGAAATTCCCTAGGGAATTGCACCCTTAAACATTCTGATTAATAAATAGGTATAGATCTATAAAAGATTTCAGAATAATAGAGGGTTCATGTTTAGGATGTGTATGTGTTATTTAATGGTCATCTTTTGTGTTTGAGGTAAGATGAAGGATTGAAGGTTCATATTAAAGAAAATTTTCTACGAGTGAGTTTGGTATAACCGTATAAATCAAATTTAAGCGAAGCTCATAATTACTTGATGTTGGGTGTATTGGCATTAAAAGATACAAGTACTTAGTATTATTTAGAGTTTGTAGCTTCAAAATGCTCGCTTTTACATAACTATAAGAGTACAAGATACTTTGTGACCAATAAATTTTCGTTGGTATAGTAGTTGTAGTTTCTAAATTGTTCCAACAAGCTGATTATCTATAATTAAGTGATAAAAGCCACATATCTTGTAGTGATTAAAAACTTCATTATTTTCAATTAAACATTTAAATCTTACCAAGCCAAGCATAAGCTCATGTTGGAGAAGAATGTGACTATACACAAGTCTAATAAGGTTTCATTTCAAAATACAATAGAGCATCAATAAGAGAAACTTAAGCCTACAACGTATCTATCTCCGTTGTTTAGTTAACTACTCTAGAATAATAATTTTTAAAAAAATCATATTAGATAAATAGGAAATGATACGGTTATTTAAGAATACTCCAATATAAAATAAGGCAATTTGTAAGAAGCCGAAGAAGTAGGAAAATAAATAAAATTCCATTGGATCAAGAAGTTCCTCTATTAGAAGTTTCCATCACATCACACTTCAGTTAATTATCTATTAACATTTTAGGAAGAGGACATTATTATGTCCAAGGAATCATCCAAGGAAGATAGTTAGGAAAAATCCATATAAATGTGCTGTAGAACAAAAATAATGTAAAGGGGTCTTCTTTTGTATTTTTCTTATCTTATTATCATACTATAAAAATTGAAACATTTTATTAAGACATACACATGTATCATATTATTATCTCATGGGGTTGTTTCCTTTTTCCTAGTTGAGGGGACCTTTCTTTAATAAAGAAGATTAAAGGGATGAAATTCTTGGGCAGAAGCTAAAAACAGCCTTCTTTAATTTAATTTTTTTTTTATGTAATTTTTTTTTATGATTTTAATTTTATATAGTCATTTTTGTCAGGAAAATGGGTGGGTTTTAATTCACAGGAACTTTCACTCTCAGGTGCTTATTAATTAAGCTCTGAAAATCCCAAAAAAAGAAGTTAAAAAAAGGAAGTTTATAAAAGATACATAAATGGCGGGTCTGCACTAGGTTGGTGAACCGGTGTTAAGATAGAATTATGGGAAATATGATAATTATGTAAAGATATGATTATGATTTGATTTGCATAGTTGGCAAAAGTATATGTACAACCGGGCATTTCTCTGCAACCTTGATGGTGGTTCTTCCTTGATTTAAAGGTAAATATGGGTCTCTCTAATTTTTTATTTTTTCAAATGGGTATTTCTTGAAATTGCATTTCTTGTTCTTATTCCAATGAAATCAAGGAAAATTATTATTTTTTATTTATTTATTCATGTTTATGTTAATATCTGGGGGTTTGAAAATGGGTTCATCTTGAATTTGAGTTTTTTTGGCAAGAATTATATTTACTGGCATTGCTCATGATTTGTAGAAAATTAGATGCAAAATGTTGAATTTTTTGGGGGGATAAATTCAAGAACATTTTCTTTTTTTCTTGCAAATTTTTTTCTGGGATTTTTGAAGCTGATATGCTTTTATTAAAGCTGCATTTTGCTTTCTGGGATCTGAAATTGGGTTCCCAATAATATTATCTCTGGGATCTGCTGGTTATTTGGTTTAATCTGCTGATTCAAGATGTAGCATTGTAACTTGTACAAAATCATGTTTTTTTCATGAAAAATGAGGAAGTTTTTGTGTTGTATGTTTTATTGTCTGAAGCAGATGATGCATATGCACTGTGTTTGAACATCTTGCTTCTCAAAATCTGTATGATTCGCACATAAACTGAAATTTTAATGATATGATTGATTGATAAACAGATTGCTGATAAATAAGAAGCATCTATAGTGCAACATGATTGTGCAAGTAGCAACTAAATGTATAAGTAATTATATTAGTGAATGATGTTATTGCAAGCTATGTTTCCTAAGTCAATAAGCTGAAGAAAAAACCCAATTACTCTTAGTGCCTGTCTGCCTGATCTGTGTTAGATAGTGCCTCTGTCGTCTGCGTGTGCGTGTTTCTGATTGTTAAGCTGTGATGCCATTCTATTTTGCAGGTTGTAACTACTCATCAAGGAATTCCTCGTTTCATAGATTCTCATCCTCGTAGAAAATATGAAACGAGAATCCAAAAATGGTTCGTCGAGTGGTAAATCTGGTCGTAGTAGAGGAAAATTTGCCTCTCGTTTTTGTATGTTCCCCAAGGTAAAATCAGCTGATACCGGTCCAGGCTTTGCTCCGGTCTACCTAAATGTTTATGATTTAACACCAATCAATGGCTACATGTATTGGGCAGGAGTTGGTATATATCACACTGGTGTTGAAGGTTAGCTTTTCTTCTACTATAATAGAACTTAATTGATTGATCTTTTTATAGACTTGTATCGATTTATGATTTTGTGAAACCAGTTTGATAGACTTTGTTACTTGTTAGTGGACATAATCATCTTAGGATAATTGTGAATTTAGCGAATTTCTTGCTATAGAGCTCATCTTTCAATGTTTCAATCTTAGAATAGAGCTAATAAAGCTGATGTTAATAGAGCTCAGCTTTGGTAATTGGTACAATACCCAAGTGTTTGTCGACTATAAGCAAAAGAAAGGGGAAGTCTCCTATAGTTGCTTCATGGTTTCGAGGGAGTTATTTCAGGAAAATTCATCACCATGTATGTAGGTACAAATTGCACTTTTAGTGATCATTAAGCTGCCTTTCCCAGATGATTAGCAGAATAGCAGTTAGCACATATAGCCCAGATTTGCTTGCTGATGCATAGTCATTTACTTTTGAATTGTTAGATGCTGAAATTTGATCTCTTTTGTTTGACAGTTAATGGCTCGGAGTACGCTTTTGGCGCTCATGACTTCCCCACAAGTGGTGTATTTGAGGTTGAACCTCGGCAATGCCCTGGTTTCAAGTTTAGAAAAGCGATATTCATGGGAACAACATCTCTAGAGCCTAGTGAAGTCAGGGATTTCATGGAGCAACAATCACGAAATTATCATGGTGATACCTATCACTTGATCGTCAAGAATTGCAACCATTTCTGCGACGATATCTGTCACAAGTTAACAGGAAAGAAGATCCCTAAATGGGTTAATCGACTTGCTAGAATAGGTATGTAGATTTGTACCTAGCCTTTTATTTCCGTCCCCCGTCTCCCTACCACGACTATCTGATATAAGTGTTTTTGGATAAATGCATCTTTTTAACCGACTATCTGATATAAGTGTTTTTGGATAAATGCATCTTTTTAACTGGTATATTTATTGATTGATATGAAGAATGATAGTCTCACTATAACAAGTAAGTCTAACATGTTGTTCTAGACTATGGCATCACCAATATTAATTCAAATTCAAAACATGTACACATAATATTAGTAGAAAATAGATAATCGATATTCAGTAGCTTTGCCTGTAGAATTAGTCAGTACTTCTTAATCCTCTGATTTGGAGAGATCACCCTGCAACCTGCATTGTGTTTATGGGATTTTTGTTTCAATGCAATCGTTGATCTCTCGTTTGTGATGGGGCTTAGCACTTATCAATCTGATACACTGTTATGATGATAGGTTCAGTCTGCAACTGCATACTACCAGAAAGTCTCAAGGCATCTACTATTCCGGAACCCCATCTCGAAGTATATGAAAACGAAAAGAAGCACCTACGACCCTTTAGCTGCTTTTCATCCTTCTCAACGTCTCAGAAGGAGGAATCAATTTCTTCCTTATTTTTACATTCACACTACTTGGGATGTCTACCATCTTGGGAGTCAAGAAGGACAAAACGTGGGATTTTTGAAGAGGAAGACTGACACGAACTTTTTTTGTACGACTACTTCGAGAATTTAGAGGCAATAGTGAATAGTATCATTTACGTTGATTGTGCATAGATCTTAGGGGGTGAGTGTACATGTGCTTTCTCGCCATTTTGATTTCATTACAGTAGCTGTTCTAGAGGGCGTAATTGTTGTCCCTGCAAATGTGTGTTTCAGTGTTGGTGCTTTTTGATGCAATCAAGCTTTTATTCTTGCATCTCAGTTCAATTATCTTAAGCTCGAACATCAATCTTATTCGTGTTGGACTGTTCTGAATTGCTTGGATCCTGTACTTGAGAATTTGATCAGCTGCTGTTTATAATTTTCCAAAGCTTATTTGCGGGGAAAAAAATTAGTGGTAAGACGGTCTGTACTATATCTAAGCTTCGGCAATTGAATGTTAAATTTTTCGAAAATGAGGAGGCAGCTTAGTTAACTGCAAATATATCAACAAAGAAAGAAGAATTCAGGCCAGGCCTTTGTCTCCATACAAAATATAAGCTGATGTTATCAAATCTTTAACAGTCTCTTAATTATCGTCTTCTAGATGGATTTAACACAGTTTGGACCCTTTGGCTGCTACCTGCTAGACATTGTATATTAAAGCAACAATACTGCTCGACACGTTCAGACGAGAAAAATTAAGGAAGCTAAGCAAATTTGATCCCTACCAAAAACAATCTACTTTACTCCAAACTGCATATAGTTTATCAGATACAGTTTATGAGATAAGTTAAAACGGAGTACTTTGTCAGTTATATCGTTATTTAACAACCATCAGACAATGTCAATGACTATCAATAGTTAAAAAGTTCAGGTATGATGACTTGAAGTTGAAGCCACCTACACTACATCGCCGCCATGCACAATACTACAAACAGCTTTTTTAACTTCCTATCTAGCATTTCTTTTCATCATATTGTGTAACAATGATTAAAGCCTTGAATTAAAATTTCTCCAGTAAAAAATAAGATCAAATTTTCTACAGAGGTGATTTCTTTCTAAGATTGATTTCTACATTTTGTCTGATATTTGTGCACACATTGAGTGCAATACTAGGACTACAAATAAGAACAGAACTTGGGATGAACCGATGTATATCGCCAGCCAAAATTGTCATGCTACTCTTACTTGCTATAGAGATGAACAAGTGTGAAGACGAAGAAGCCAGCCATCTGCATTGAGGAAAAGATAATGAGATTAATCTACAACAAACCTCATACTTCATTTAAAATTAGCCAAATAAAATCTCACAGAAAAGAGAACCAAAACGGAAGCAAAAAAACATGACAATAATATACAGTAGCACTAAAAAATGCACTGATAAAAAATATCTTAGCCAAAAACAGGAACGGTATGCAGGTGGTCATTATTGGGTTTATGCTGTACCATTGAAAAGCATGAACCATAATAGGGATATGCAGCAGTTATAAATCTTTCAAATTCATTGTGTCTGAAATGTCGTACAGGAATCTGCAATCAAAAGAGAAAAAATTAAACCATGGTGAAGTGCACAGCTGTCAAGTGTCAATAACATAACAAGAGCTTATATGAATATGATGTCACAAATTAATAAGAATCAAAAAAGAATACAGACACTAAATATTATGAAACAAAGGAAGTACTATGAGTAGCACTAATAAACGTCTAAATGTGCACGACCAAATTCCAACACACAATTAGCTATGACTTCACAGAAACTTGAGAATATTATGATTTTATAGCTTTGAGTATATAAAAAGGGTTTCTCCAGCTGTTCATAGCTTAGCACACAATGAAATCTATACTAGTAATAATCTTATATACCTGCTTTGCTAGAGACAAGCTTGTATATCCGAGCCTCTGGTACTCAACTTTGAACTGGAAAACACCATATACATCTGGCACCTTGAATGAAGTATAATAAAGACCCTGCAAAACAGTGGTGAGTTGGTGACTATTTACCAAGGAAAAGCTGAAATAAATACACAAGCGAAATAGATATGTAGATAAGCACCTTCTTATCAGTTGATAATGTCTTTAACACATAAGGGCTCATCATGTAGAATTGCACTTGAACATCATCAGTTACATACGGCTCCCAGTTCACTCCAGACCATTCATAAATCTCAACAGAATATTCCTTTGCAAATTCAAGCAGTAACAGAAAAACCAGTTCAGTTGATTGCATTTTGCAGAATAGATTGAGGAACAGGTAAAATGTGAAGCAAAAATAAATTACCAGGTCATCAGTGATCCTATATATTGAAGGTTCATCTGTTTGTCCTGTCTTGTGGTGTCTTACATTTACAGCCTGTAAAATCAAGTGTCTGGTCAGTGATCATGCTTCCAAAGCTTACATTTGTAATATCTTTGACACAAAAGAAACATCATTAACTTTCTATAGAAGAGATAACATTAAATTAAGAGCATAAAATTGAGCATACATAGCAAGAAAAAAATGACACACCTTGAGATGACCTCTTTCATGGAAAATCCATTTGCTAAGTTCAGTCACAAACTGCTCATTACCGGATTTGTCAAATCTGTTACAACAAGAAGCATTTCCGCTTATACAAATAAAAATTTACTTCAAATCATATTCCAAGGAAGTAAGCAGGATGTATTGATCAGAAGAGATGCTAGCACAGATGCCAAACAATATTTCCCAGAAAGGTATGCAGTAAACACGGTGAAGAAAATAAAGGAAGCAAAGACCTGAGCATCTAGTCATAAATAATTTTTTAAAAACAAATTCAGGTCCTATCACTGACATGCATGAGATAGATAGTTAAATACGTGAATGATGAATGTGCTAGCAAAACAATGATTGTCCAATAATGTTTCAAAGGCTTTGTCAAAATATCACACAAACCACTGAGAAAATTGTTGCATTAGATATTCCACTTGCATTTCAGTGCCCAAATATACGGAAACATCCTGATAAAAAAAAAAATGGTCCTCACAGAAACCATCGACTTTATGAAAGAGGAAGTAGTTACATAGACATATGCAAGGATTTAGATTTACTTACGGATCCAATAATAAGAAAATTTGCAACAAGCCCAAAAGTGGCTAAAATAAACAACATATGTACTAAATTTTGAAAGCAACCACAAAAATCACTAATGCATCTTGGACAACAATGGATCTTATTTAGGGTGATCAGTTCTTATGTATTCTTACTAGAGCTACTTTGCTTTAGACTCTCCTAGTAACTTTCATCAGAATTGAGAAAGTAAAGCTTTAATTTCACCATCATTACCGGAAACCTTACAAAAAAGGTTAAAAACTGCAAATGCTCAGTGGAGCAACTGATTGAATTAATGACAAGAATCGCTAGATAGTTGTTTTATTGTCTCTACATAAAATGCTATTAAGCCTGAAAAATCCAAATCAAAGCTCTATTTACCTAGTCAAGCTACCAGCCTTTTGCACTCCTGATCTCAAAAATCTGAACAAAGAAACAGAATTTCTGTAATCAACAAAAAACAATACAGACCTTCAACAGCTAAAAGAACAATATGTTACAGAGGCAAACAAGTTTACCGGTCACTGAAAAGTTTAAGTGAGCCTGATATCAGAATACGAGCATTGTTTCTTGCCTAACAAGAACAAATGAAAAACAGCTATCAATGTTCATGACAAATTTAGCCTTTACTTACATAGCTTATCTATTAGGAAAATCAGAAGAATAAAGAGCAGTAAAATACCTGCACAACTGAAACCAACGATATTCTGGGTCCAGTAAATGTTGGGGCACTTGATAACTTGGACAAAGGATTAGCCAAATAAGCAGATGGTGAAGCGGAGAGAACTTGCAACACCTATCAGAGTTGCAGAGACACAATAAAATAAGACAATAAGTTGAAACATAATCGATTGATGACCGAATGCCAAACACATCTTTCAACATTACAAGGTCAATAGAGCGTAACTTACATGGCTGTTAGAAGGATTTACTGAATGACCAGTCCCCTGGAAAAGTACTGCAGCCTGGAGCATATTCATGTTAGAATCACCCACCACTAATCAATGAAATTAACTCCAGAATTCCAGATCGTTTATGTTAGCAAAATGTATATCATAGAAACCCATGAAACAAGTATAGTTTAAAGCAGCATAAACTATAAGCAACAACTCTGAAAAAACTTCGGCAGGAAACCCAGACAGAACATACACGTTAATTACTGAACATTACTGTTAGTCATTATTTAAGTAGAAACCAAAGAAGCAATGCACTATAATAAGACGCATAGATGACCCACATGAATAGAGATATAAGCTGCACAAGCATTTACAGCCACCTCAAATCACTAAAAGCATATGTCACATATTACAATAATGGATTGACTTGCCTCAATTTTCTTGCTCCCTAATATGACATCTGATGCGATAAATTCATCACTAGCAATCAGTGTATGATCACCTTCAAATTCTGACAATGCATAGCTTGTGTGATCAATAACCATCGCTGCAGGGTCCTAGAGCCATACAGAAATCAAATCAGGAAGAAAGTGATAACTTGCTCGAAAAACAAAAACACAGCCCAAAAGATATGTGCACTGACTTCTTTATAGGGTCACACAGATAACAGAAAGTTCGCCAACTACATACATACATGATAAAATGGTAAAAGAAAAACGTAAAATTAAGGTCATACTCATACTAAATCAGTTTATGCAAAAACGAATCATTTGGCATTTCCGTTGAGAAGAAAAGAATACTGTGCGCCTTAATGATTCGCAGAATTCATACTACGTTTACTCGTTCTCTTTTCCTTGCATATACACAGAACTAACTATACGAGTTAAAATAACACTGATTCGCTGAACTCATAGTATGTTTACTCATTCTCTTTTTCCCTCGAATCTAAACAGAACTAACTATACGAGTTTGAAATAACACTATCCAAAATGTCTAGGGCCAGGACAAGACAAATGTACCATACTGCATTATACAAAACAAAACGAACAATACACAGATCATAGAAATGTAGATGTAGATTGCAATTGATGAAAGAAATTATGATTAAAGATCATAAAATTAGTTTAACTAACAGCCAAATGTGACCATTTCAGAATACTAAAAGCTAATTGCACACTTACAGCAGGTAATTAAAACAGATAAATCGGAAAAAATGGAGATTAATTAAGAAAATAAGCTCACATCATCGAAATCAACACCACATTCTGTTGCAATTTCGCGAATCAAATCAGACGAATTCACATCAACAGCAACAATCAAATCACGTCCAGAATCAACAAATTCAAGCACCGCTGCCTGATTAATCGAACCTCCAAAACCTTCAAATAAAATCACAAAAAATCAACCAAAAATCCAAAAAAAAAAACGCT